CACAAAACTAAATAAAAAGCAGGAAAGAGGTCAGAGTGATAGCATGCAACCAGCCCGGGTTCGATCCTCGGCATCCCATGTGGTCCCCCAAGCACTGCCAGGAGTAATTCCTGAATGCAGAGCCGGGAGTGAAATCCCTGAGCACCACCGGGTGTGACCCAAAGAGCCCCCCCACCCCCACCCCCAAAAAAAGTGGGACAAGCACCTGGGAGGCGCGTCTGACGCCCAGCCCGGCCGCTAGCTCTCGAGGGTACCAGAGGGAAAACCCCGTTTTATTTGCCCCGTTTGCCCTTGCCGGCCGCCCCCCCGGTCTTGGCCTTCTTCTTGGCGGCGCCCTTGGGCTCCGGCTCCTTGCGCTTGGCAGAGGACAGCGAGCCGGTCACCTTGAAGAAGTCGTCCAGGCGGCCCTGGGTGCTGCCCTGGCGGCACTTGCTCAGCCGCCGGACGCCGCTGCGGATGCGCTCCTCCGAGAACTGCTTCTCCCCGCACATGAAGCGCACCAGCTCCTCCTCGTTGGGCTCGCCCCACCTGAGCTCCACCGACGCGGGGTCGAGCACCTCGGGCTCCAGGAAGAGCTGCTGGGCCTCCTTGTGGAGCCAGTTCTCGGGCACGGGGTACTTGGCGGGGTCCAGCCGCCGCACGATCTCCTCGATGCTCTTGTGCTTCTGGATGAGGTCCACGGCCCGCTTGGGCCCGATGCCCCGGATGCTCTCGCAGTAGTCGCTGCCCAGCAGGATGCACAGGTCGACGAACTGCTCCTGGGTCAGGCCCAGCTCCTGCAGGATGCGGCCCAGGTGGAACTCCTGGATGGGCAGCTTCTTGGCCTCGCTGGCCGTCAGGTGGCGCATGAGCACGGGGCTGCCGAAGGTCAGGCAGTCCATGTCCTCCGTGGCGGCGGCGTAGACCTTGCCGGCCTTCACCAGGGCGGCGCAGCTGGCCTCGGCCTCGCTGGGGGCGTCCAGGTAGGGCACGCCCATGAGGCCCAGCAGGTGCTTACACTCGTCGCTGTGCTGCTTGGTGACCTTCACCAGGCGCTTGGTGAACTTCTCCACCTCGTCCTCGGCGCCGGCCGCCTGCGCCTCCTGCAGCTGCCTCTCGGCCTCGGCCCGCCGCTCGCTGCGCTTGGCCAGCTCGCCCGACTTGAGCTGCGGCGGCTTGCCGTCGAACACGTACACGGGCTTGATGCCGTTCTCCATCATGCGGATGGTGCGGTAGAACATGCCCACCAGGTGGCTGGTGGTCTCGCCCTCCTCGTTCTGCAGCACGTCCCCGCCCTGGCGCACGGCGATCAGGAACTGGTAGATGCTCATGGAGGCGTCGATGGCCACCTTGCGGCCAAAGTAGCTCTTGATGTCGTTCTCCCGGATGGCGCCAGGCGCCACGTCCGCGATCAGCTTGGCCAGGCCCTGGATTCCCATCGCGGCGGAGGAGCTACTAAAGAGACAGACAGACAGACAAAGGCACGTAAGATCAGGGAGGATCTGGAGGAGGCCAAAGGAGCACGGGTTCGAGTGGGCGCTCTCCCTGACTTCACGCTTCTGCTCCACACGTTTGCCGCCGCAGGACAGACACAAAGTTGTGCTCGGGGCTGACTCCTGGCTCTGGGCTTGGGGACCACTCCTGGTGGGCTCGCGGGGACCACATGGGAGGCCAGGGATCGAACCCCTGCCCGCTGTACTACTGAGCTCCAGACTGCAGCGCTTTTTTTTCTGGGAGGTGGTCACACCTGCGATGCACAGGGCTTACTCCTGGCTCATGCACTCAGGGAATTACTCCTGGCGGTGCTCAGGGGACCATATGGGATGCTGGGAATCGAACCTGGGTCGGTCGCGTGCAAGGCAAACCCGCTGTGCTATCTCTCCACCCCCTGCAGCGATTTTCTTTCCTTTTACCCTGGCACCCACCCCCCCCCCACCGCACCCTCTGCCCCCCACTCACCACCTCCAGCACCCTGCCGGGCCTTTTGCCTGTTTGACTTCTGTCTGTTTCTCTAGGTGCCAGATCCTCCAGATGAGGCTCGGGGGCTTTCGCTCTCCTTCCCATCCCGGAAGTGACGCTGCTGCTGCTTACCTGAAGGGATTCCAGCCACCAGCGGGGAGGTGTTAAGTGGCGAGGGGCGGCTTCAACTTTTCCCACTTGTTGCCCGAGTTCTCCTGGGACTCCAGGTATCCGAGACAGGTCTACGGGGCGGGAGCAAAAAGAGTGGACAGGTGAAAATGTGTGCAGGAGGTCATGTCCACTCCCCGCACGCACGGCATGGCCCCCAGAGCCCCGCCCAGAGCGACCCTCTCACACAGAGCCAGGAACAGCTCCCAGGCACCGCCAGGTGTGCCCGCCCCGAACCCAATAAATGAGGAATGAATCAGGCATGCAAGTAAAACCTTTACTCATCATCACCAAAGTGAAAAAAGAATTCCTTTTTGCTTTTTGGAGCCGCATCCAGCCACGCAGGGGGGTACTCCTGGCTCCGTGCTCAGCCAATACTCACTGCCAGGGGCTGGGCTGATTGGTCCACTGAGCTCGCTCTGGCCTGAAATGCTTTTATTCCCCCCCACCCCCGCCCTGCTTTTTGGATCACACCCGGCAATGCTCAGGGGCTACTCCTGGCTCTGCACTCAGGAATCACTCCTGGCGGTGCTTGGGGGACCATATGGGATGCCGGGGGATCGAACCCTGGTCATCCGCGTGCAAGGCAGACACCCTACCCGCTGTGCTATCGCTCCAACCCCTGAAATGCATTTTTTCATTTTTTTTCTATTTTTTTGGGTCACACCTGGCGATGCACAGGGGTTACTCCTGGCTCTGCACTCAGGAGTTACTCCTGGCGGTGCTCAGAGGACCATATGGGATGCTGGGAATCGAACCCGGGTGGGCCGCATGCAAGGCAAACGCCCTACCCACTGTGCTATCTCTCCAGCCCCTGAAATGTATTTTTAAAGTGTCTTAAAGCGGGGCTGGAGATAGCACAGCGGGTAGGGGTCTTGCCTTGCACACAGCCAACACGGTTCGATCTCCAGCATCCCATATGCGCCCCCCGACCCCAGCACTACCAGGAGTGATTCCTGAATGCAGAGCCAGTGTGATGCACTGCCTTCCCCGCCAAATAAAAGTGTCTTAAAAAAATGTGCAAACGGTTGGATAGTACAGCTGGGAAAGCCTTGGCTTGCATACGATAGACTGACCTAGGTTCGATCCCCAGCAACCCCAGAGCACTGCCAGGAGTCACTCGAATGCACAGCTGGGAATAAAACCTGAGCATTACCAGATGGAAAAACAAACACCCACAAGGCAAGCACTCCACCACTCAGCACAGCGCCAGGCCCTGTGATGGGAATTCAGCAGTGTTATATAGGTTCTATATCTTTTTTTTTTTTTAGGTTCTATATCTAAGTAACCAGTTTCTGTTGACTTTCATTCTGCGGTGCCGGAGAATTGAACCCAAGTACTGAGCGACACCCCCAGCCTATTACTCCATCCATAATCCGAACACAAATCCTGGGTTGCGGCAGGGGTGAGGGTGGGGTGGGCGGGTGTGAAACTGGGCAGGGAATCGGTGGAGGGAAGTTGGCAATGGTGAAGGGACGTTGGATGCTGACACTCAATCGTGGAAAAAAAGAAACTCTAGTTCATGGTGATTCAATTCAAAGAACATCCTGGTGTTGCCGCGAGGGTACTCTGCAGATTTGGGGACCCCACCGCAGCCCCCTGCGAGCCAAGAGGGCTGCGCTCAGTGCTACGGGTTAGGCTCCTACAACCAACTGGAAACCGCGGAGTCACAGGTTCCCCCAGGGAAAAAAAAAATCTGCCTCCAGGTGGCAGCACCCAGTCCTGCCCGTAGCAAGTCTCAAATCTGCCGGGTTGACAGTCTTCACATCCTCCAAAATATCTGAGACCAAACCCTTCTCGACATGCGACTGACTCAAACTGACCCTCCAAAGACAACCAAGCCCCCCCAGACCTACAGAGGGGGCTCTGCGCTCCGGCTCCATCCCGCGGCTCAGCGCCGACCCCTGATCTGTTTTCTCTGCAAAGTGCGGGTAGCAGGTCTGCCCCGCTACCTGCTGTGCTCCAGACCCCCAAGCAAAGTGCTTCCCGGGGTGGGGGTGGGGGACTGTTTCCCCCAACCTCAGGGCCAAAGCATCCACATGAATTTTTTTGCGCCTGCCAACAAAATCCTGTTTCCCTATAAAACAGGCACCGTTTTCTTTAAACAACAGCAACAAAGTTAATTAATTATTGGGTCCAGAGAGATAGTACACCGGGCACCAGGCAGGGCGCTTGTCTTACACGCAGCAGACCCGGGTACCATCCCCAGCATCCCATCTGGTCCCCCCATCGCCCCCCACCGAACCACTAGGAGTGATCCCTGAGCACAGAGTCAGGAGTCAGCCCCGAGCATCGCAGCGTGAGGCCCAAGGGCCCAAACATAAGTAAAACAAAATAAACGTTGCGCGTCCGGGTCCCCCAGCCCTCGGTCTGCGACTGGCCGCGGCCTCCCCGCGGGGACAGTGGCGGGACAGCGCGCGCGCGCCAACACGCACGCGCAAGGCCCCCGGCTTGGCCAAGGCAAGACGGACGTCGCCGTGGTCAGAGGCGCGTCCCCAGGGGTCTCACCTGGCCTTTGGGCACGAGAACTCGGCAACAAACCCTCGGTCCGGCGCTGCCCGGGACCCCGCACTCGAGAACTGTTGCCGCTCTCCTCCCGCTCCGCCGCCTTCAGAAGCCCGCGCTCGCGTCACGTGACCGCCCGCCGCGCAAAGCCCTCTGGGAAGTGTAGTTCAGGCCGGAGACCCTCGGCCCGCTTCCCTCACGGCCCACGGCCCCGTCCAGGGTGGGAGGACACTCTCGGAGACTTGACTCTAGGCGTCTCCCAGGATTTTCCTCAATTCCTCACCCCGGCCTCCACGGGGCCCCGTTCCCGCTAGAGCCCGGCCCCCGGCTTAGGACTACAAGTCCCACAATGCCCCTCTCCGCGGGTGCGCTTCCGCTTCCGGCGGCAGCGCGCCGGCTCCTGCCGACGTGTTCTTCCGGTGGTGCTGGAGAGAAGGTGTACTCTGTGCCAGGCAAAATGGTGAGAGGTTTGGGGAAAGAAAAGGACCGGGCAGGAGGGACCTACGGGACCCGACTCCTTCGCAGAGGCTTTAGACAGCCGAGACCCGGCGGGCAGGAGGCTTCCTTCCGGGTGCTGCGACCCGGGCCGAAAGCCTCAGGCTGGGATGCTCAGACCTCCGTGTACCCGGGGTGGGTGGGGGGCAGGGGCCGTGGGGGGCGTGCCCCCGGTACCTGCGACCATGCTGTGGTTTTCTCAGCGGAGCATGCTTCCCCCCAAGCCCCACGCTGCCGCCCGACTCGTCTGCAGCCTGCAGAGCCCCAGGAAAAGCCCCCTCCCCCACCTCCCGGCTCGCAGAAGCGCCGCCACCCGTCGCGGGGCCCGCAGCCTCGGGACCCCTTTGTTAGCGGTCATGTCCGCGGCCAGTGACCCCCCGTCTGACGTGCTGCAGCCCGGGCTGCTGGCTATTCATCTTTGTCTCTCTTCTCCGGGGGTCGGGGGGGCCCCCCATGAATGGTCCCTATTGTCCCCCATCGCTTTCAGCGGGTGGGGGGTGGGGGGGAGCATCCGTGTTCCCTGAGCTGAATTCCTGTGTCTCCGGGAACAATGGGGCCAGTTGACTCCCCCAGCGTTGTTATGTTCTGGGCCGCCGCAGGAGCAGCGGCTGCTGGAGGGTGACAATGGGGCGCTCACACGGGCCCAGAACTTTCCACGGGCCGCCCTCTTCTTCGCGGGCATGAGCTCATCCTCTTCTCCCATCACCTTGGGCAGGAAACAAGCCCCCGATTGAGCCGCTCCCGGCCCGCCCCCCCCTTAGAATCACGCAGCCCCCTGGCCCACAGCCCCACCCCCTGCCTGTCTTCCTGCATTGTCAACCCCGTTCCGGAGATGCAGAACCCTCAGGCAGGGCCGGGGTTTGACCTGGGTCTGGTCTCCTGCAGGTGGATCCTGAGATTCATCAAAATACCAAATCAGAGGTTTGAGCTCTTGAGAACCCCCAGTCCAGGCTCTGTGACTTGAGGCTGACTGTCTACAAACAGGGTTTTAGAAAACCTCTAAAACTAGGGGCTGAAAAAGAGTCAGGGGGCCAGGCGCTTGCCTTGCACACGGCCAGTCCCGGTTGAACCCCTGACTCCCCATCGGGATCCCCGAATCCTGCCAGGAGTGATCCCTGAGGGGTCAGAATGATAGTACAGCAGGGTAGGCCATTTGCCTTGCACGTGGCGGACCCGGGTTCGATTCCCAGCATCCCATATGGTCCCTCGAGCAATGCCAGGAGTGATTCCTGAGTGCAGAGCCAGGAGTAACCCCTGAGCATTGCTGGGTATGACCCAAAAAGAAAAAAAAAAGTGATCCCTGAGCACAGAGCCGGAGTAAGCCCCCAGGACTGCCAGAGTGGGGCCCAAAAAAGAAGAAAAAAAAGTAAAGACCAAGAGTGCACCCAAGTGGGAGAGATCGACAGGCTGGCCACTCCCGCACGGGCCCACCCCATGTCCCTTCCGGAGGATTTCCGTGTTTCCCTGGCCCAGATACACCTCTGGCAGCCCCGGTAGCTTCAGGCTCCCTGGTGAACCCCCCACCCTCCCAGGCTGTGTTCAGGGCAGCCCCCCATGGTTCTGATCACGTGTCTGTCTGCAGGAGCTCGAGGCCATGAGCAGATACACCAGCCCGGTGAACCCGGCCGTCTTCCCGCACCTGACCGTGGTGTTGCTGGCCATCGGCATGTTCTTCACCGCCTGGTTCTTTGTGTATCCTTTGCGGCTGGAGCGCGCGACCTGGGGGGCAGTGAGAGAAACGGGCCCTGGGACATTGCAGCTTCCTGGCCTGGGCCTTGCGGGGATGGGGAGAGGGATGGGGGGTGGTATCGAGGCCCAGAGACACCCCGCACGTTAAGTGGTGGCTTTATTTCCCTGTTTAGATTCCCAGGACTGGCCCGACTGGAGGGTGGGCTTGGGGGGAGGGCCTGACATGGAAAGCACCGCGGTAGGGGATGGTCCAGGGTCTGGAGAACGTTCTCTCCAACCACCCCGAGGCCCAGGGCAGGTGCCTTGCGCCCGCTGGGTCCCTTTCCCAGCAGAGCCCCAGGGCCCGGCGAATCTCTGTCCGCCTTTGCCTGGCCGGGCTCCATGGGCCTCCTTAGCCGCCTGCCAGTTACGAGGTCACCTCCACCAAGTACACGCGGGACATCTACAAAGAGCTCCTCATCTCCTTGGTGGCCTCACTCTTCATGGGCTTCGGTGTCCTCTTCTTGCTGCTCTGGGTCGGCATCTACGTCTGAGCTCCCGAGGGTAAGAGCCGTCCCCGGGGCGGGCGGGGGGTGGGGGGGGCAGTTGAAGAAGGCTCAGACGGCCACCCTGGGGTGTGTGTGTGTGGTGAGAACCTTTGTGATCATGGTATCTCCCCTGCAAGGTAAGTATGTGGCGAGAACCTTTGAGTACTGAGACAGACTCGAGGGGTGTGTGTGTGTGTTGGGGGCGGGAACTTTTGGGTACTGAGACAGACTAAGGGGTGTGTGTGTTTGTGTGTGTGTGTGTGTGTGTGTGTGTGTGTGTGTGTGTGTGTTGGGGGCGGGAACCTTTGGGTACTGAGACAGACACTGATGGGGACTCGGGCCTGGTGCCTGTGTGACTGTGGGAACAGGCTTCCCGGTGTGTGCATTGACATGTCCACGTGCATTCTTATAAGTCACACAACGGTGGGCTGCTGTGGGACTCACAACTTGGCGGTGCTCCCCCTGACCCGGGGTTTCCAAACAACAGGGCTGGGAGGACCCCGAGTTCAGTGCAGAGCGTGGCATGCCCTGCCCACACTGCAGGAGGCCTCGGTTCAAGACCAACCCCCCCCCCAACCCAGATCCACAAAGCCATGGCTGATCCACCCAGGAGGCTACAGAGAAGGGGTGCGCCCGAGGGAGGGGCCGGGCTGCGGGGGAATTGGGGGAGAAGGCAGTACTGCCGGCTTCACCCTGGCACCCTCTTCTCTTACAGGTCCCTTGCCTGGAGGCTGCACCAAATCCCTACTTTTGTAAATTAATTTTTATACCGTTGGAAACCGTCGGAAACCATTGTCCTATGTGTGCTGTTCACAATAAAGGCAGATGGAAGACAGTCCTGAGCGGTGTCCACTGGGGACGGGGCAGGGGGCAGGTGGGGACCCACCCAGGCCACGGACTCCTCAGTCCCCACTTCTGGTTTCTCTTAAGTCCTTCAGGTACTTCCCAGTGCTGGGAGCAGGGCCTGGGGGAAAGGGACCCGATGGTCTGCCCTTGGGGTGTCAGGCTCCCTTAGGAAGGAAGGGGCCGGGCCTCTGCGGGGCCCAAAGCAATCTTTTTTGGGGGGGGTCACACCCGGCAGTGCTCAGAGGTGACTCCTGGCTCTGCTCGGCGGACCATATGGGATGCTGGGAATCGAACCCGGGTCCGCTGCGTGCGAGGCAAACGCCCTCCCCGCTGTGCTATCGCTCCAGCCACCCCCAAGCAGTCTTGTCTACGAGCGAGCGCACACCAGGCCAGCACCTGCCCCCCATATCCGGCGACACCCTGCTTGGGGCGGGACCTTGAGGACCTCAGCACCCTGGAACAGCTTTTCCCTGAGGCGCTTCCCTGAGCCCAGGGAGCTAGTGAGGAGGGGGCTGGGGTCCAGGCCGGCGGCCATCGCGGGTGCCGGGGCAGAGGGACACAGGGGTCCTCCACTAGTCCTCGGCCCCCAGGTAGAAGCACCCCAAGGAGAGGCGGGGAGGCAGGCTCGGATACAAAGCAGTATCATACATTTATTTATATACGGAGAATTTCCTTCACACGACAGAACGGGGGAGGGAGGGGACGCGAGCCCTGCCCGCCACGGGCAGGCTCAGCACTCGATAAATATGAGCTGCTCCAGGACAGGAAGTGGGGGTTACCTGGGGGGAGGGGCACTCTAGGCACATGGGCTTCTGGGATGGGGGTGGGGGTAGGGGGGCTGTGCATTGAGGTCCTATATACAGCTTGAAGCTTGGGGGAAAGATTAGCCCAGTGGCTACAGGAACATATGCCAACGTGGGGGTGGGGGGAGTGGGCCACAGAGACCCCATTGGGGATGGAGCCAAAACACCCCACTGGTGCCAGGGCACCGTCCCTCGGTCCCTCACGCCCTTCTACCCTTAGGGGGCTACAGGGAACTTTTTGGTCCAAGGTTGACCCCCCCCCCCCCGAGCAGCTTGGAGCCCCAGCTCGGCCCCCCCCATCCCTTGCACTGTGGACCCCCTCCCTATGCAGGGGACAGCCAGCTGCCCGCTAGTTGCTGGGGTAAGGGGGGGGGTTGCCGTTACTTGGGCTCCAGGGGGCAGTGGAGGGTCATTTTCCAGTTGAAGGACGCCCGGACTGAGGGCTCCCCAGATTCCCGCCCTGCGGGGCAGGTCACTTTAAAGCGTCCCAGGTGGGGTCCCTATGTCCGGAGGAGGTGGTGGAGTCGCTCTGGGGTGGGCACAGGCGGGGGAGGGAGTTGGGGATGTCCCCCGCTAACCCCCAGGTACCCGCGGTGTTGGCCTCGCCTGCTGCAGGTAAGTGCTTTGAGATCCGAGGCTTCCAGCCCCTCGCCAGAGGCCCCCTCCGTGGACACGGGACCCCCATGCTTCCTTCCGGCAGCCTGCTCGTTCAGGCTGGGCACTTGAGAGATGTTGGTTCCCCTTCTCCGTGCCAGAGAGGAGTGGACAGATGGGCCTGCTGCTGAGCTGGGGTGGGGGGCGGGGGTCCCCCAGGGGCCAGCACAGGAGGGAGAGGCCAGCAGCTGGGCAGCTGAGTGTGGACGGAAGTCCCCAAGGCTTGCAAGCCGGGCAGCGTCCTTGTCAACCGGTCCTCCCGCACCTCCCCTCCACTCTGGGTTTAAGTGCATTTTAGTAATTATTTCATTAATAAGAGCCAAAGCTGTTTGCATCTACCCGCTGGCCAAGAACAGCCCTGCTGCCTCGCAGGGGTCCCAGCTCTGCTCAGAGTAAAGGGTGGGGGGGGGGGTGTTGGGGGGCGGGGGGCCGGCAACACTCTCCATTCACTTCCAGGACCCCCAGCCCTGGGGCCACCACCCTCAGGTGCTCCCAGGGTTCTTTCTCCGTGTCCTAGGCTTACCTGGCCCCCGCGACCTCGGCCGGGCACTAACGGTTCATAAGGCACTTGGGGTCTCCTGGACCCCGGGAGCTCCTGCGAGCCAAAGAGACCTCCTGGGCCTTGCTTAAAGCTTAGAAGTCCAAGTCCAGTGTAACAGTCAGCCGCGCCCCCCACGGCCACACGCTGCTCCCCGCTGGCCAGGTCAGGCCTCTGAGACTCTGTCTAGGGCCCCCCCACCCCGTCTCCCAAAGGCCCAGAAGAGGGGTGCTTCTTGCTGCTGGCCTCCAGGCATCCCGTGTGGACAGAGGGGAAGGGGCATCGCGGCTTCCTGGGGTCCCACGACCCCGGGCCGAGCCGGCTCCATCCCCGAGGGCGCGGGAGGACGGGCTCCAGTGTAACAAGTGGCATCCAGTGTGGACGGGGCGCCGTGGGCCCCGGGCCCGGCTGCAGCCGGCTCAGTCACACAGGCGGTAGAAGTGGAAGTAGTAGTCGGAGACCGGCCGGCCCGCGGCCTCTGCGCTGCAGTTGGCCTGCCCCTGGAGGGAGGGCCGAGGGGAACCGTCAGGTGGCTCTGGGGGTGGGGGCCAGCCACAGGCCCCGGTTCCACCCACCCCTGCCCCCCACTGTTTTTTTTTTCTTTTTGGGTCACACCCAGCGATGCACAGGGGTGACTCCTGGCTCATGCACTCAGGAATGACTCCTGACGGTGATCGGGGGACCATATGGGATGCTGGGAATCGAACCCGGGTCGGCCGCGTGCAAGGCAAACGCCCTCCCCGCTGTGCTATCGCTCCAGCCCCCGACCCCCTACTCTTGACAAGGGGGCCACAGGCAGGCGGGGGGCAGGGGTTGGGGGGGACAGGCTCACCGGCAGTGCCACCCGGAAGTGGTAGGTGAACTCCCGGAAGGACAGGATGGTGACCGTCCACTGGTGCGAGGTGCCCTGGAGCACGGGGAGAAGGTGAGGCTGGCGCCCCTAAGCCCCATCTGCCCTGACCCACGCAAGCACCCACTCTGCAGACTCCATGCCAGGTGCTCCCCCGATCCTGCCCAGTCCCCATCACCTGTGGGCCGAGTGGCAGGGCCAGGCTCTCCCTGGTATTCCCCGAGGGGACCCATTCTCCATGGAGACTTTGGTCCAGGCCAGGGATCTCTGCCTCCAGTGCTCCTCCTTCTCGGGCCCTCTTTGGGGCTCGCTCACCCCCCTCGCTCCAGGTCTCCTGTGGGTGTTATACTCTGCCCCTCCCCCACTAGACCCCACCGGGCCTGGCACTGAAGGGGCCCCAGGAACGATTTGCTCAAGGGCCAGGCCACATCCTTTGCATACGAGAACCCCCACCCTGCCAGTTGTGGCCCCCTCAAAAGCAAAAATGACCTGTTGGAAACAATTCCATGCATAGGTGAGGGGGGAAAAAAAAGACCCTGAAACTGTGCCGAGTGTCACCAGTTTCGGGGTGACGGGGCTGTGGGGGCTCTGGGTCACAGACCAGGTGCCTACCCCAGGCCAGGCGACTCCTGGGACCCCTCCTCCTTTCCTCCCCGAGTCACTCTGGATCCCAGGACCCCTCCTCTGGGGTGAGTCCCTATGTCTTCCCCAGCGACCCCCTCCCCCCCCAACGCTCCCCGTTGCCCATGCTTCAAAGCAGGGGCTCCAGCTCCCTCCCTACCTGGGTGTCCTGGTGGGGCTGGGGGCTCTGTGGCGCAACCCCCTCCTCGCACGGCTGTTCCTCAGACGCCAAACTGCACAGCACCACCGACACAGGCGCCGAGGAGCTGGCGGGGAAGCCCAGTGAGCAGCACCCGCGGGCCCAGGGCTCCCCGGCCTCCCCCACAGCCTCCCTCACCCCAAGGTGAGGCATGCCAGCAGGGAGACAAGGACGCCTCCTCGGGACCCCTCGTCCAGCGTCACCTGAGGAACCAGGGCCCCCTACACACACACCCCACACTCACTTCATCTGCAGGGTCAGGCTGAGATGCAGTGGGGTGCTGTTGCTCACAGGAATATGGTAGGTGACGTTTCCGGGCCTGGCAGGGGGAGACACAGTGGGCCCCTCAGCTCAGGGACCCCCACCCTCCATCCCGCCTACCCAGGAACTGCCACCGTAGCTGGTGGGAAGGGTCGGAGCTGGTCATCTGAGCCCACCTGCAGGCGTCTCCTGGGGCGCAGTATTGGGAGGTGATGGGCATCGAGTTCTCCAGCAACTGCACAGAGCTCAGGGAAGGGGCCGCACCTGTGGGAAAGGGGAGATGCGCCCGGGGTTCTCACGGCCAGACCTGGAGCAGCCGGGCACACCTCAGTGCCAGGAAGTCCTGGGAACTAGAGCCTGACAGCAGGGCAGGGCAGGAGGGCATTGGCCTTGCACGCAGCCAGCCCAGGTTTGATCCCGACACCATGCACGGTGCCCTGAGCCCAAATGGGAGTGAGCCCCAAGCACAGAGTCCGGAGTGAGTCCTGAGCACAGAGCCAGGAGTGAGCCCTGAGTGCAGAGCCAGGAGTCAGCCCTGAGCACAGAACCTGCAGTCAGAGGCTGGAGTGATAGCACATCGGGTAGGGCGTTTGCCTTGCACGTGGCCAACCCAGGTTCGATTCCCAGCATCCCATATGGTCCCCTGAGCACTACCAGGAGTAATTCCCAGGAGTAATTCCTGAGTTGCAAAGCCAGGAGTAACCCCTGCGCATTGCCGGGTGTGACCCAAAAAGCAAAACAAAAAAGGAACATGCAGTCAGCCCCGAGCAGTTCCAGGAGTGAGCCCTGAGCTCAGAGCCAGGAATAAGCCCCAAGCACAGAGCCAGGAGTGAGCCCCGAGCGTAGAGCCCGGAGTCAGCCCTGAGCACAGAGCCAGGAGTGAGCCCCCAGCGTAGAGCCCGGAGTCAGCCCCGAGCACAAAGCCAAGAGGAGACCCAAGCGCAGAGCCAGGAGTGAGCCATGAGCACCACCAGACGTGACCCAAAGAAAAGCCAAAAGAAGTAGCAGATAATTCTAGAAGAGGCCTGGGGTTCCGCCCTGCTCCTCCACCATCCCCACTGGCCCTGTTACAGGCCCAGCTGAGCTCTCCCTCCTGGACAGACCAGGAGGGCCCAGAGCCGGGACGGTCTTTCCGAGCTGTGTCTAGGATGACCAGGATCCCACATGGCCACCTCTGAGCCTGGGTCCAGTGGTCCGGGGTGGCAGTTTGTCATCTAACTCAGATCGGGGTGCTGACCCCTCTCAGTTACTTCTCGGCAGGCCCCCCTGCCCAGGGCCCTCTCTGTGGCCCCCAGAGGCTGGTCAGCGGGCAGGGTGGTGCTGAATGCGCCTGGACAGGCCTGCTCCCCTCACCCCAGCCCCCCACAGAAGGGGAGAGCAGGGACACTGCTTTTTTTTTTCTCTCTTTCCTTTTTCCTGGCGCCGGTACATTTTCAGCTCCATGTGATAGATGCAAACCAGGCACCCCAAAGACCCCAGGGGGACCTCAGACAGCTGTCAGACAAAGTGGCAAGTGGCCTCCCTGCTTCTCTCCTATTCCCTTCAGAGACTGGGCGCCAGCCTCACCTCCGGGGAGCCCTCCTTGATCACCCCCGCCCTCCGCAACATCACCCGGCTGCGATTTTTGCATATGAGCTGCAGGGTGCGTCTGGAATTTTGCATCTGGGGGAACAGGGCACGTCTGTCTTGGTGGCCCCCAGAGCCCCCGGCGTGAGCCAGCACAGATCCCTTCCCACAGGAACATGAGAGGGTCCAGGCATCTCCCTGGGCACACCACACACCCCGTCCTCACTCAGGGCCCAGCAAGGGTTGGACACCATTTTTGTTGTTGTTGTTGAATTTTGGTTTGAGGGACACACCAAGCAGTGCTCAGGGGTTACTCTGGGCTCTGTACTTGGGAATTAATCTTGCGGGTGCTCGGGGGACCATATGGGATGGCGGGGAATCGAACCCTGGGCACCTGCAAGGCAAACATCTCATCCGCTGCAGTACTGCTCCAGCCTCAGGGGGTGGAAAACTGGGACTTTTAAACGAAACAACATCGAACAGAGCCGGCCCTGGGATGATGTCACCCGGAATGACATCACCCAGCATCCCCGCAGCCGGGGTGGGGCTGTTCCTCACTGACCACATGATGACCGCATGAAATGAAGCCCGGGAAGAAGGCGTTACTCCGAGACTGGCATCTGGTTGGTGCTTAGCAGATGTTGTGGGCGCACCCTTCCTCGCCCAGGCCAGGCTGGGCGGTCGAGGGCGTGGGCCTCAGGGCGTACCTGGCTGGGCTCCGGCCTGAGTGGGCCGCGCAGGTCCTGCGCTGGGCTGGGGGGCCCCTCTGCGGGCGCGGCCGTGCAGACCGAGGCTGGGGCTGTTCTTGGCTTTGCTCTGCCCGCCGGGGAAGGGGAAGGCGGGGCTGGCCATGGGCTCCAGGCTCTTCGGGTGCTTGGCGTGGCCGATGCCATTGGCCGAGAGGCCCCAAGACTTGGCTCTGATGTTAGTGACGGGCAGCAGGGCCACCGGGCTCGGGGCTGTGGACAGAGTGAGCCAGGGACAGGCTGAGAAGGGGGAGACTGGCTGTGTGGCCCAGCCCAGTGAGCTCTGGGGGACCTTCAGTCTCCCAGCCACTCAGGGAGACGGTCCCCATTGTTTCCCCCGGGCCTCGTTCTGGGTTCCAGGGAACCCCCGCCCCCCGTCATGGGTCCCAGCACTTGGCTGCCATGCTCACCGCCACCTGACCCTCATACACACACACACACACACACACACACACACTCACACACACACACTCATACACACACTCATATACACACTGACATTCATACACTCACATACACTCATATACACACTCACACACACTCATACACACACATACACACACTCACATGCACACTCATACACATACACACTCATACACACACTCACACACTCACACACTCACACACTCATTCACACATGCACACACTCATGTATGCACTGATATACATACATTCACATGCACTCACATACACACACTCATACACACACTCACATGCACAAACTCATATATATACACTGACATACATACACTCACATACACACACTCTCACAGACACACACTTGCACACACTCACACACATACACATACACACATGCACACACACACATTCACATACACACACTCACACATACTCACATGCATACACATACACACTCACATACACTCACACACACACACACACACACACACTCTCCCACTGACTACCTGAGAGGTTGGTGGGGGGCCCGGGGCTGGGGCGCAGGCTGCGGCCAGGGGCTGTGGGGCTGGGAGGGGTCGAGGCACAGCAGATCACGGGGCACGGACGGCTGGAGCAGAGGTCCAAGGTGCGAAGGGCTGGCCCTGGGTCCGAGCCGCTCAGGCTGGTGGGAACTGCGGAAGCCAGAGGCGAGTGAGTGGGTGCAGGCGCTACTCCCAGCCCCATCCCCCCACACCCCTGAGAGACGTCGGGTGTGGGTGCTCACCGAGCAGCAGAGCGGGCTGTGTGCCTGGGGTCCCCGAGGTCACGGGGGCCTGCCGGAGCTGAGTGGTCCCGAAGTTCTGGTTAAACCTGCTGGGAAAGGGGGTGGGCTGAGCTCAGAGGGGCTGGGGGCGCCCGAGGGCGGGCCGTGGAGTCCCGGGGAGGCGGCAGCTGGGGCGGGGGCAGGAAGAAGGGGGCAGTGAGAGGTAGGAGGGGGCGAAGGGCCTGGCAGAGACACATACCACGGGCACGCGGCCTCACCGTCCCCAGGCTGCTGGGGCCGGAGCAGGGCCAGGAGACAGGAAGTGGAGACGGCAAGAGAGCTGAGAGACCGCGCAGGGGAAAGGGGGTGCAGGGAGAGAGAGAGAGAGAGAGAGAGACACAGTCAGAAATGGCGCAGGAGCCGGGGACAGCGGGTGGACGGACGGAGCCCCGGGTCCCACACCTGCCCCCCTCCCCGCCTTCTCGTCCCCGTGTTGCTGCCTCGGAGACCCTGAGAACAGCCTGAGCGAAAGCTCGGCGGCCCTGCCCGCAGGCGAGCCTCTCCCAGGACGGCCCCAGACCTACCCATCCATCTCCACCACGTCCTCCTCGGAGCGCAGGCTCAGCACGTACAGAGTGGACATGGACGCCACGCTGGAGCAGAGGGGCGGGGTGAGGGGCGCAGGGGCTGGGCCGGGCTAGACCTCCTCCTCCCCAGGCCCAGGGCGTCTCCCCCCCATCTCCCTTCCAGAGACTCAGCCTCCCGATTCCAGAAAGCTCCGCGCCTTCCCCACAGGCCCCAGCAGTCACCTAAAGGCCATGACCACCACCAGCGCGATGATGGTCCCCTGCAGGAAGCGCTGGCTGACGCACGCCTGGTCCGGGACCACGGATGGGGGCTGAGGACACGAGCCACGGGGAAAGAGGAGAAAGACAGGGTCTGACTTACTCCGTCCGTCTACCCGCCCCTCCGCGTGCACACGGGCTGACCGGAGGAGGACACGCCACCGAGCCTCCAGCCAACTGGAGCACAAACACTTGGCATAGCTGAGCCCGGGGAAATGCAGGCTGGGAAGGGAGGTGCGGGGGGTGGGGGGGGTGGGGAGGCTCCCTGGCGGCCACCCACCCACCCACACACTCTCACTCACACACACACACACACTCACACACACTCACACGCCATACACACAGTCACACACATGCACACACATACACTCACCCCACTTACTTACACACACACTCATACACATACATACCCCCCACACGCATACACTCACTCACACACACTCATACACACATACACTCTCCTTACGCACATATACACTCACCTCCACTCACATACACACACATTGTTACCCACATATACACACACTTTCACACATACACTCGCACTCATGCACACACGCAATCACATACACACACCACACACACTCATACACATACATACACACACTCAGTCACACACATGCATACTCAATCACATTCATCCCACACTCATACTTACACACTCACACACACACATACACACATTCCACACACACACTCACCCCCCACTCACAAACACACATACTGTCACCCGCACATACACTTACACACATACATATACATTCATACACACTCACACACACACATACACACACACCCTCCATACACTCACATACACACTTATACACACACACACACACTGATCTGCCCCCCTCCTGCCCACCCTCACCTTGCTGGCCACCTTGGGAGGCCTCTTTTTATGGGGGACGCTGCCTGCCCGGCTGAACTGGCTCCCAGCATGGCTGTAGCGAGAGAAGCAGGGTGAGGGGTGGCCCCGGGAAGGGCCTCCCTCGCTGCCCCCCGGCTGCCCCGCCCCCCACCTGAAGGCGCCGGAGCTGCCCGTGGACTTGAGGCTGTCCAGCCGCCGCAGCTTGGCCAGCTTGTGGCTCCAGCGCTCCAGCTCATCGATGCGCGTCTCCAGGTTGTCCGTGAGTTTGCACAGCTCCTTCACAGCCCCCACGTTCTCCATGAAGATCCGCTCCTGCCGGGGCCACGGGCACGGTCAGTCTCCAGGACCCCCCAGCCCCTCCCAGCCTCAGAGCCCCCAGGGCAACCTGGGCGGACCCCCAGACTGCCCCTTGGCTCAGGCGGCGGCAGCACCCTGGGCCCACACTGGCACTCTGCAGCTACCCCTCAGTGGCGTCTTAGTGGGCCCCCACTCTGCTCTGGAGAGGAATGACCCCCAGCCTCCCCTCCCCTCCCCAAGAGCCACAGGGGCGTGCCCCCTGCACCCCTGAGGATGCCCATGTGGAGGGGTACGGGACCCCTCTCCCACCCTCTTTCCCGTAGACCCCAGTGCCATTTGGGGCTCAAGGCGCTGATGCCCCCCACCCCCAGCCCCATGGGGCTCCACAGACCTTATTCACCACCAGGAAGTTCTCGATGGTCTTCCCGTTGGCAAACACCACATCTCCAGAGTCCTTCACGGCCTCGGGAAGAATCTCCTTCACCTCCTGGGCAATGACGCCTATGGGGAGGGGGAGCACGGAGTGTGTGGGAGAGACCTACCCGCAGCCCCTCAGGGAAGGCACCTGAGCTGCCCCAGGGCCCTGGAGGAGAACAAGTGTTCCCAGGGAGGTCAGAGCTGGGGTGGTGAGTGTCCAGGCACAGGGAGCCCTGGATGGAGAATCATGAATCCTGGCACCCCCATTCCTGAACTCTAGTGTCAAGGGAGGAAGGAGCCCAGATCATCTGGAAAAGACGATTTTCTGGGGCAGGAGAAGCTTCTAGAAGGGAGGCTTGGGGCGGGGAGTCAGTTCCAGGGCCAAAGGGAGGGTTCCTGGGTGTAGTGCTTCCGGACGGCAGACTTTTTCGGGGGCAGTGGGGAGTCATGGTGTTCCACCGTGAGGGGCTCCCTACCAGTCTCGGGGGAGGTGGCCTCAATGCCAGCGCTGGCTGCAAACTCAGGCTTGTACCGGTAATGCACCAGCCGCATGCGCGAGATCCGCTTCAGCTGCTCGGTCGTGTCCACCTGCGTGGGAGCAGGGCACACACTGAGCACGGAGGCTAGAGTGGAGGGGCGGATTCGCCATCCAGGCGTGGGATCCTGAGAACTCAGGGGCCCAGGCAGACCTACTTCCCTTACAGCCCCGCCTTCTGTCTGACTCCGCCCCCGTGGGCACCGCCCCATCTAGCCCCGCCCACCGTAGCCCCGCCTACCACTAGGCACTACCCCATCTAGAGCCTGCCCCATCTAGACACACCCACCAATAGCCCCGCCCACCACTAGGCACGCCCCCTAGAGCTCCACCCCATCTAGCCACACCCCTAGAGCTCCGCCCCATGTAGCCACACCCACCACAGCCCCGCCCCCTACCAGACACACCCCATCTAGAGCTCCGCCCCCTAGGCGGTAGAGCCACACCCACGTGCAGCCCCGCCTATAGAGCCCCGCCCCCATCTAGAGTTCCGCCCCCATCCAGCCACACCCACCTTAGCCCTGCCCCACCTAGCCACGCCCATAAGAGCCCCTTTGGCCACGCCCCGAAAACCCCACCCCACCAGTCCTGCCTCTGCTTGTGCCCCGCCCCGGCCCCGCCCCACCTCCTGCACATGCTCCTTGGCGCGCAGGTCCGAGGGGTGCATGAGCGAGCCCATAACCTTGACGTTGCCATGCACGACCAGCGCCTCGTCGGGCCGGTCCGTGTTGATGCCCACACGGCCATGGTGGAAGACAGTATCGGGCACCTGTGCCCGCTGCCACAGCACGTCGCTGTCACTCTCAAACTGGCCTGGGTTGGAGGCCTAGCAGGATTGGGGTTGGATCAGAACGGGGTGGTAGGTAGCAGGGGAGCGGGGGAACACCCACAGCTGCTAGCCCCGGCCCAGCAACCCAGAACGCCCCCAGCACGTGTCGGGGTGCCCTGAGGGTGCGAGCCTTGCCCAGCGCCACAGCGCCCGTGCCCCGCAGGGTCAGCACCCGGTAGATCACGGGGCCGATTCTCCCAGTTCGGGGACAGGACCCTTACCCGCACAATGATGCGCTCCGAGATCTGGGCGGCCAGCGTGTAGTTCTGGTTCTGCGCGTGCGCCTGCAGCGCCACCACCAGCATGAAATACCTGGGGCGCACAGAGGGGGGGTCTCAGAGCCACGGGGGTCCTGCCTTCTGCGCCCCTTCCCAGGTGCACAGCAAGGCTCTGCCCCAGGTCGCCCCAACACTGCCGGCACCCACTGCGTGTCCACTAGGGGGCAGAAGTGGCCCAGCACCCAGGAGAGAACGAAGACTCAGGCCAGACGCGAAGCCCTGCCTCGGCCCCTCATCCACCCATCTCTGGGTGGTGTCCCTGTCCCTCCTGCTTGGCATGGGCGGCTGGCACGGGTGAGCTGCTCACCTCTGGTCCGGGTTGGGCTTGCCCTTCTTGCGCATGTTGTTGGCAGTGGTCTCGCTGAAGTGCAGCCGCCCCACCGTCACCTTCGTGACCTGCTCAGGGGGCAGGTTGACCCTGCAGAGAAGGAAGGGGGTGTTCAGGCAAAGGGGTGCAAGGGGTAGAGAGCGAGGCCTCCGGGGCCACTGAGTCAGGGGTGTGTGGGAAGTGGGCATTGTGGGCACCGGCCTGGCCCCCCTCAGCGCCAGTGGTTAGGCCTCTGGTGTTACACACACACGCATGCACACACATACCTTATACATATGTGCACACACACCAGACACAACAGACATCACGCACACACACGCACACAAATCCATCACATAGACATTGCACGCGCAACACAGACACCACACACAAACACACGCACGCACACACATCACAAGCATGCACATATGCACGCGTGCGTACACTCATGCACAGGCATGTGCCCGTCTACAGTTACACATACACACATCCATGCACACGTGTATATGCAGACACGTGCACTCACGTGACAGGGTTGAAGGGCCTCTTGCTGCGGTCGGACTGGGACTGCTCGATGTTGATGGACTGGTTTAGGGCCTCCAGCTATGGGGTGAGCACACCAGTGGCACCTCAGGGACCCAGCTCCCCACCTGGCCGCTCTCCTCCAGCAACTCAGCCTGAGGAAACTGAGGCACGACCTCCCCTCCGCCACCCCTCCCCACCAGATCAGTTTGCTTCTCTGACAGCCCCCCTCCCCCCGCCCCGCATGTGCGCATGCCCACCCCCACCCCCCACACACACCCTCCTGGTCCTCACGCCTTCCTACACTGGCACCCCTAAATCTGCTCCACTCACACCCAAGCCCCCTCACCCCCCAGGTCTCCCCACACCCACAGTCCCCCGGATCCCTCCAGTTGTGCACCCCACTTGGGACGCGGAGACTCAGGTGGAGATGAGTCAGGCACCTAGTGGAAGATTCCATCAGCTTCCACTGGGCAGAAGGAAGCCCGAGCAGGGCACAGGAAGTGAGGACCAGGAGACTTGAAGGTATAGGGAGGGTGACCAGGGCCCCGGAGTCCCGGGATCCCCCACCAGGAGCGAGCAGGGGGACCACGTCTGCAGGGAACTGAGGTAGCTGAAATATCTGAGGTCGCACGTGTGAGGTCCCAGAGCCGAGAAGGCAGCTGGGAGCACACGTGGGAGCGCGGGAGGCCGTGGGCTTGACCCGGAAGCAGTCCCCTCCCCAAGGCTGGGCTGTCGCGCCCTGCGGAGCCCCAACCTGCCTTCACTCCGTGCAGCTTCAGGTAGAAACAGTCCAGGGGCTTGAGACCTTCGGGCGTCTTCACGTACTTGGGCTCGCCCAGCATACCGATGTACACCGTGACCTGGAAGTGATTCTTCTTCTGACACACGAACGCATCGTCGCCCACCGAGAAGTTGAAGCCCTTGTCTGCATCCACGCGGTAGGTGAGCATGGGCCTGGGGGGTAGGGGCGCAGGAGGACACTCATCCTGGGCCCCCCCCAGCAGGGTCCCCTCCCCCACAGGCCAGGTCCACCAGATGGTGGGGAGCAGGGTGGGAGGGGGGGCCTGGACAGCCCCTCGCCACACTTGGCTCTGGCCCAGGAGGCTGCCCCCACCCGCGCTCAGGAGCCAGGGTGAGAGGGGTGAGGTCTGGGGAGCCTCACTGGCCTGTCAGCTGGTTGCCATGGAAACGGTGGAACCAGGCGCCGCCGGCTCTGCACTCAGGCTGAAGCCCCCACATCCTCATCCTCATTCCAACCCCCTCCACTCTGGGGCCGGGGAGAAGAGCAAGTGGGGCTCCCTAGGTTCTCTCTGCCTCAGTTTACCGCTCTATTATCAGAGTTTTTTTTTCTTTTTTTTTATTTCCAAGCCAGGATCCTCGGTGGGAGATTCTAAGTGGCAGCAAAGGGAGGGCCCCATCCCCCATGCCTGTCCCTCCCTAGATGTCTGCTTGGAGGTCTGCCTGGAGGAAGCCGGGAGGCAGAATGTTCTCAGTGTTGTGTGTGTGTGGGGGGGGACAAGCTTTGGGCCAGGCTGATGTGTGCAGCAAGGCCTGGGCCAAACGGTGACTCCACGGCCAGGCATGGGGCTTGGCGTGTTGTGTCACCTGGGGGACCCCCCCCACCCCGATGGGGCCTCCAGGCACTGTCACTCTCCCCCCCAAGCACGCGCGCGCGCGCACGCACACACACACACACACACACACACACACACACACACACACACACCGAGACCTTCTGGCTAAGAATCCCACTGCACCCAGGGCACCCCTGCACCCGAGGCCATTCTCAGCGACATGTGTCCTCCAGAGTGAAATGAGGGGGCAGCCCCACTGGACACCCTCTCGCGCCCCATCGCCGGCCTTCAGGGGAGCAATCCCAGCATGCTCTGGGCCAGGCGGGGGCTGGACCCGATGGCAGGGTGGGGAGGGCGGCCTGGGACTGGCCGGGCAGTGGCCCCACCCCTGGTGGGCCCTCCCCCCACAGAGGACAGCTTCCTGCTACCTTCCAGGAATGCGGGGGGGGGGGGGGGGAGGAGGTGCAGGAAAGGGTGGGGGGGTTGATCAGAAAACACCCACTTCTCCCTGCGCCCGCCCTGGCCCGCCCTGAAACACCCACTTCTTAAGAAGCCAGGGCGGGCAGCGGGAGCCAGGCCTGGTCAGGGCAAGTCCCCACGCCCCGGGGTGGCCATGAGGACGGGCACTCACAACTCCTTGTAGTTAGCGTCACACAGTGTGGCCCACTTGCTCTGCTGGTGTGGCTGCCACTTGATAGACTGGTAGTTGGGGTCCAGGTAGGAGCCACTGAGGCTGTCGCTGTCCTGCAAGATCCCTGGGGAGGTGGGGGGGCGCACCGGCGTCATGTGGGTGCTGCCGCCGCCGGGGACCCCACCCCCCCAGCCCTGCAGCGAACAGTGCGCCTCCCACCCACCCGCCTGCTCTACCTGGGGAGGGTGCGCCTGGTGGGTGCCAAGGCGGCGTCTGCACGCGGGCAATGCTGAGGGGCAAGGAGCCAGGCCCTCCTGGGGACAGCGGGCCCTGGGGGGGCCAGGGCGGGGATGGGGCGCGGCTGGGGTGGGGGGGCGGCAAGGAAGTCACGGTCCCCGGCTCCTGTTTGATCATTCCGTTCAGCATCTGGGCGTTGAGGGTGCTGGGGGGTGATTCCGAATGCTTCCTCTTTTTGGAGGGGTGTGGGGGGACCCTGGGAGAGGGGCAGAGGTGGGCATCGTGGAGGGGCTCCGGCCACAGTCCACCCCACCTCATCACCCCTCTGTCACCCCACTTCTATCCTCCCTAACCCCCGGGGAAAGGCAGGCGTCACCTCAACTTGGCAGTGCCCCTCACAGGCCCAGCCAATGGCCTCCACGATGGGCCTAGGGCTGGCAGGGGAGTGATGAGACCCCCAGTCACCCCGGTCACCCCACGGTGGTCCCCTTCATCAAGGGGCCTCGACAGATGTCAGCCCCCATAGAGGAACCGCGAAGCCTCCTGGCATCAGACGTTTTGGGTGTGTGTGGGTTTTTTTGTTTTGTTTTGTTTGGCTTTTGGGTCACACCTGGCAATGCTCAGGGGTTACTCCTGACTCTGCACCCAGGAATCACACCTGGTGGCGCTCGGGGGACCATATGGGATGCTGGGAATCGAACCCGGGTCCACGTCGTGCAAGGCAAACACCCTCTCCGCTGTGCTATCGCTCCAGCCCCCTCATCAGGCTTTTTTTTTTTTTTTTTTGAGCCAGGGAGGAGGTAGAAGGTTTGGGGGCAAGCCCAGCCCCACTTCCACTTCTGGGTTGCAAAACATCCGGGCGCTGCTACAATCTTTCTTTGCTCTAAATCTTTCTCTTCTTTGTAATTCTTATTCTATTTGTTTAGTTTGTGGGCCACACCCAGCAGTTGAGCACTTACTCCAGGCGGGGCTGGGATCACGCCTGCCTGGCGGGGCTCAGGGGACCACGGGCCGGGTGCCGGGGATCGAACCTGGGTGGTGGGCTGCGTCTAAGACAAGTGCCCTCCCCGCTGTCCCATGGCTGGGCCCCTCCTTGTCCTAAACCTCTCAGGAAATCTCCAACAGCTCAGCGATGCCCAAGTGAGCTGGACTTGTGGGGGCCTTGGCCTGACCCTTGGCTGGGGCCACAGCACCCCGCCCAAGATGGCGGGGAAAGTTTCAGGGTCTGGGGGCAGTGGGGAGGCAGTCTGTGCTCCAGGGCCAAGTCCCAGCTGGCCGGCCCTGTCCAGCTCGGGACCTGGGCCGGCAGTTCGCCTTCTCAGAACCCCACATCACCAATGTGCCCACACGGCAGGCAGACGGGCAGGCAGGGACAGTCGTGGCACTGGGCACTTCCATGGGCAGGGGAGACCCTTCCCTCCCCGCGGCCAGGTCAGGGGTCCAGGTCGGGGGTCGGCTTACTCAGCTCCGTGCTGCAGCAGCTGGTGTAACATCTGCGACTGCGGGGTGTGGTGGAGGTCGGCGGGCACCAGCCCCTGCCCCATGGCCGCGTAGGGGGGTAGGGGGGGCTCCGCCTTCATGTACAGGTCCCGTTGCAGGACCGGGTAGTGGGGCGGGGGCGGCGGGGGTGGCGGCGGGGGTGGTGGTGGCGGCGGGGGGCCAGACAGGTGGGCAGGAGGGGGCGGCGGGTGCTCCAGGCGGGAGGCCACACCCACGTGGCACAGGGTGTCGGGGGTCAGGGTGCGCAGGAGATGGGGGTCTGCGGGAGACATGGGGGAGAGTGGGCGTCAGTGTCCAGCTCCCGCAGCTGGGCCCCCGGCTTGGGGCTGTCCACCCACACCCCCCCAACCCCTCACCCACCCCACGTGGTTGAGCCTTGGGGGAGCCCGACAGAGTGCGTGACCACGGCCGGGCCTGTCCACGCGACCTGGCCAGCGCCTTCCCCATCCCCCCCTCCCCCTCCAGCCGCCTCCAGGCCTCGGGAAGGATCTTCCGTGGGAGACCCCAGCCCAGCCGCGGGGGCCCCCCACCTCCCCAGCCGTAGCAGCCCCTCGAACAGGCCAGGGACCAGCCCCCCCAGCCCGAGGGTGGAGGCCCCTTTGTTCCCCAGGAGGCATTCCAGAGATGTTTTTGGTAAGATAAACAGAACTCTTGACCCCATTCTGGCTGTGCCGAGCGTCCTCTGGTTCCCTCACCCCTTTCTGGAGTACCCCCCAGCCACCCACCCAGGTGTGGGGGGACCCCCCGGCTGCCGCCGCCGCCGGCCACTTACCCCCGAAGGGCACGTCCATGATGGTGCAGCCGGCGCCAGGCGGGGGGGCATCCCGCGGGGACCCTGCTCCCCACCCACCCGCCCGGAACAAAAGCAGCACCCGGAGTATTTGAGCAGTGATAATGCGGCCCGCGGGGTGGCCGGGCCCGGCCTCCTCCCTCCCCGATAAGGCCGCCCCAACCACTCGCCAGGGCCCGGGAGGGTGGCACCCCTGGGACTCACCGTTCACCTGCGGGGGGGAGTAGGCCTCGGAGCCCGAGTCGGGGGGCGAGTCTGGCAGCGTGCTGTGGCAGGGGGAGGGGGCGAGGGAGGCCAGTGGGTGAGCAGCACCCTTGGGTGCTCCTCTGTCCCGACCTCAGGGTGCCTAGCAGGGCCTGGGGCCGAGCAGTGGGCCTCGGGGTCCTGCCATGCACCCCCTCTGATGGAGTGGGGACCGGGGCTCAGTGCCAGAGTCTTCAAGGAGGTCACAAGGATGCCAGGACACCCTGGGTCCCAAAGGGCCTCGTGCCCACCCAAGCCCCTTTCCTGGCTCCGTGGGCTCTGGGGGGGCAGTGCTGGGCCAGGACGGGGGTGTGGGTGGCAGGAGGCGGCCTCGGGCAGGTGTGAGCCGGGCAGAGAGCCAGTACCTCTGGCCGGCCAGCCTGCGTTTATTTTTTTCCTGCATTTATTTTTTTATCAGTGGTTCAGGGGAAAGAACAAATTCGACCCTGAGAGGTCAGCACGTCCTGGGTGAAGTTGAGCTCGCCCGGCAAGGAGGCCCCCTCCCCCCCACCAGGCCCGGCCCGTGGCCATCCTGCTGGCCACATCTGGAGGGCGGCCAGGGTCACACCCCACCTTGTCCTCTCTCTGAGCCTCTCTGGACACGGTGCACTGGACGGGCAGGGTCTGGGTAAGCCCAGGCAGCCCTGCGCCTGCTGTGGGCGCGTGAGAGGGCACGGGGGGGGGGGGGTGTCGGCTCCTAGGGGAGGGGCAGAGAAGCGGGGCGCCATCCCACCCCTGCCCTGCTCGGCCCCGTGGACAGACAGACAGACAGACGGACGCTCCAACCCTGACAGGCGCAGAGGGCCACTGCAGGGGCTGGATGTGGGGTGAGCTGGGCCCATGCTGACCGGAGTGTCAAGCTCCTTCCCACAGGCTGGGACCCAGAAAGCCGGTCCCCTCTGTGCCCCCCGCTATCGGTGGGGCTGTCCTGGGGGCCTGGCATGTGCCGGTGACTGCCACCCCCCCCTCAGGCCAGGGCCTTTTCAGCCTTCTGGGGGCATGGGCCCTGGCTGACATGGACTTCACAGGGAGGTGAGGGCCCTTAGGGGAGGCTTTTTTTTTTTCTTTTTTGGGTCACACCCGGCGACGCACAGGGGTCACTCCTGGCTCTGCACTCAGAAATTACTCCTGGCGGTGCTCAGGGGACCATATGGGATGCTGGGGATCGAACCTGGGTTGGCTGCATGCAAGGCAAACGCCCTACCCACAGTGCTATCACTCCAGGCCCTTATGGGAGGCTTTAGGGAGCCCCCTGGCCCCAGGGAGCAGTGCAGGAGGGAGGCGGCAGCCAGATGCATGTGTGTGTGTGTGCATGTGTGTGCCCTGCATACCCTGCCTGTGCATGTGTGTGTGCTGTGCCTGTGTATTTCCCCTGTGTGCCCTGTGCATGCATGTGTGTGCCCAGCATACATACCTGTGCCCTGCATGCCTTGTGCATGTATCGTGCATGTCCTACATGCCCCATGTATATGCATGCCAGTGCATATGTCCCCATGTACTGTTATGTGCATGTGTATATGCCGTGACCTGGACACACCTGTATGCCTGTCCATCCTAAATGTGTCGTATGGATTGCATGATATGTTCAGGTGTGCATATCAGGTGCTCTGTGTAGGTATGTCCTGGGTGGGTATACGCGCCTGTGTTCTTCTGTGTGCTCTGTACATGTGTATCCCATGCATAGGCACATATGTGTTCCTCTGGGTGTACACATGTGTCCTATGTGTGCACGTGTCCTTGTGCGGCGTGTTCATGTTTGTGCACTGTATGTGCACATGTATCTGCACGTATGTGCCCAGCATGTGTGCGTTCATGTATGTGCACATGCATGCCCTGTGTTTGCGTGTACTCGGTTGTGCCCTGTGTGCATGTGCATTCATGTGTGTGTCTGCATGTTCACTTGTGCACACATTCCCTGTGTGTGGTGTTTGTGCAGGTGTGTGCCCTGTGTGGACCATCTAGTACATACAGGCATATGTCAATGTGTGCCAGTATGTGTACAGGCATGTGCCAGGGTGTGCAGCCGTGTACTGGTATGTGCAGTTGTGTGCTGGTGTGGGCAGCCGTGTGCTGGTGTGGGCAGCTGTGTCCAAGAGTGTGCACGGTTGTGGCCTTCAGCCTCGCCCCTCTGTTCTCTGTCCACGCAGCTCTGGGATCCTTCTAGCACTGAGTGGCCGCCTCGCTCCTCTGCCCAGAACCGGGCCGGGCTGCCTCCTGCCTCCCAGCAACCCTGTGCCCCCAGCCAGGCCCTGAAGCTACCCCCACATCTCAGGGCGGCCCTGGGGCCCCTTCCCTGCCAACCACCACCCCACCTTAGGCACCCACTCTCCCTGGGACATAGTCCCCTCCCCCACCAGGCACCCCTGCCCTGCTCACCCTGGGGCGTAGGGAGCCTTGGGCTCTGCCTTGATGGGGGGCCCGGAGCCCCCCAGGAAGGGCTTGGGCGCGGCAGCCAGGCCGTTGTTGTTGTTGCAGTTGAGCGGGGCGCTGTAGCTGGGGGGCGCGAGGGGCCCATGGCGCCCTGGGGAGGGTCCGCCCGAGTGGACGCCGCTGGAGCCGGGGAGGGCGGGCTGCCCGTGCGGGAAGGAGGCCGCGCCGGCCGGAGTCGCGATGTCGGGGAAGCAGCTGCAGAGAAGGGAGGCTCAGGGGCGCCCCGGCCCTGCCCTTCCCCGAGGGGTGGCCGCCCCGGCGCGGGACTCACAGGTCCGAGGCGTCCTCCTTGCTGATGTACTCCTCCAGGATGCTCGTGTCGATGTTGGACGGCTCCAGGGCCCCGTTGATGTCGTGACCTGCACAGAGACGCCAGAGTCAGGGGGGACTCAGCCACCGCCCCCCAAGTAGTGTCCATGTGGGAAAGAGCCCCTCCACTTCCCCCTCTTGAACCCCCCTGCAGCAGCAGCGTGGACACCACTTCCAGCCCACCGGGCCCCAGCAGTGGGGGGGAGGTCCCCGCACGGCACTTCCTGTTCCTCTGTCCCCCACTTCCAACCCACTGGGCCCCAGCAGTACAGGGGTCCCGCACGTCACTTCCTGTCTCTCCATCCCCTACTTCCAGCCCACCAGGCCCCAGCAGTGGGGGGGGTCCTGCACGGCACTTCCTGTTCCTCTGTCCCCCACTTCCAACCCACTGGGCCCCAGCAGTAGGGGGGTCCCACACGGCACCTCCTGCCCCTCCATCTCCTATGAACTCATGCCGCCCCAGCTTCCCCCACCTCTGTAAAACGAGGTGACCACCCCCGCCCCATGGTGTGGGCGGCTCTGAGGAGGCTGAGGAGTGCAGGGGAAGGGGGCCGGGCTGGACCCTCCTATGCCCCATCCCCCAGAAGCAGGGCAGAGACGTGGGGGGGAGCCAGGGCTGTCTGGACAGGCCACCTTCTCTTTGGAGGTGCCGTTATCCCCATAACGGCCCACGGTTAGGGGGTGCTGAGCCTGGTTTTCCAGAGGGAAACGGGGAGGGGGCAGGCAGAGAGGGGCAGGAGGGCTGGTGGGGGCGCCGGAAGGCAGCTGGACAGAGGCCGGGCTGGCCTCTCCCCTCCCAGGGTCACCTTGCGGGGGGGTGCGAGGGGCAGCGAGCCAGAGGGCGGGGTGATAAGGGGGCTGACGTGGGAGATGCGTCAGCCTCGATAATGGGGGAGGGCCCCACCCACACGCTGACCCGCGGTGGCCCCACTGAGGCCGGCGTCTAGGCCCCGGGGACCGAGCTCCCACGGGTCCAGGCGCGAGCCCTGCCGTGCTGTGTGACCTTGGGAAGCTCGCCGACCCTCTCTGAGCCTCCGTCTCCTCACGAGTGAAACGGGACCGTGAACAGCTAACACCGGGTGTCGGGGTGGGTCTGTGGAGTGGATCAGTCCAGGGTGGTGGTGGGGAGGGCGGCTCTGTCCACGGGGTCCCCGGGAACTGCCCGCCCCGGCCCCTCCATGGCCCTGGATGGCATTTCAGGAATGCTGAGCCCCGCTTAGGTGATTAATGTGCGGCTGGCTAAGCCCTCCCCAGGGTCACGAGCTGCCTGAGACGGGCCTCCCGGGGTGGCCCCCCCCCACCCTTCTATACCCAGCGGGGGGCGTGGGCACCCACCGAGTGTCCCAGTGGCCGCATGGGCCCTAAGTGGTGGGGCAGAGATGACAGAGCCACCCTGGGCCACCCTGCAGGCTGGACTTCCGGGGGCTCCCCAGCCCGGGGCTCTAGGACCCCCATCCCCGGCTCCAGCCACCCCATGAACCAAAGGGGCCACGTGCTGTGTGACCAGGGCCCCTCAGACCTGCTGTGGTGGCTCAGGGAGTTGGGGCAGGGTACCCCAGGGCCTGACCCTCCCCTGCCGGCCTGCCGCTGCCCACACGTGCCAGCGGCAAGACCAGTGTTTGGGGGGGTTCACCTCCCACCCACCCCCCTCCGAAGACTCAGCGCTATAAGCATCAACTTCCCCCCTTGGGCCACAGACACCCTGCCTGCTTCCTGCCTCCAGCCTGGAGGGGGGTGGGGGAAGGGGATGTGAGGGGGGGTGCCGGGACCTCCTGGGCGGCCCCTCCTGGGGGGTTGGGGGACCCTGGAGGGAGCAGAAAGCCAGGAGCACCCCAGCACCCACGGCCCGGCTGAAGCTGTGGGTTTGGAGGCGGACTCGGACCCCAGGTGAGTGATGGGGTGGTGGAGTAGGGTGGAGCTATTTATAGCAGCTGCCTCCTCCTCCCTCCTCCCCTAATCGCCCCTAATCCTCCTGTCCACCTCCCTGGGCCAGGGGCCCTCCCAGAGGCATCCTGGAGACCCTAACGAGAACCAGATGTGGTCGGGGGGGGGGGGGGAGGCCCCCTCGTGCCAGGGCCCGGGGTGCACGGGAGCCTGGCGGAGGGAGGAGGGCCAGGCCTGGGGAGGGGTGCGGGGGGCGGGGCAGGGCGGCAGGCTGGGGTTTTGGGGGGTGTTGGAGGGTCTCGAGAAACTCGAGCCCGGAGCGACTGCACAGCCGGGTGAGGCACTTGCCTTGCACGCAGCTGACCCGGGTTCAATCCCCAGCACCCCATAAGGCCCCTGAGCGTAGAGCCAGGAGTGACCCCTGAGCATTGCCGGCTGGGCCCCCCCACACACACCAAAAGAAAGAAAGAAAACACTCGTTCTCCCCGGGAGCCCAAGGCTGCCTCCAGCACCCTGGCCAGGCCCCCGCCTGGCTGGAGACTTCCAGCACTTTCAGGAAGTCCAGCTGGGGGTGGGGGAATTGCAGATACCCAGATACCGCCCGCCTGGCAGGAAGCTGAGTGGCCTTGCCCCCACCCCGCGAATGGTACTGCGGGTTACGACCCTGTGCTTCCCACTGCCCGTCACCCGAGCCCCCAGCCCTCTCCTGCTCTCTGCCAACAGGCCCTGGGCCCCTCCCTGGTCTGGACTAAAAGCCTCCATCCCTCCCGGCCTCATTTCACTTCTCAGAGCCTCTCTCTGCACGTGCACGTCACTGGGGGGGGGGGGGGGGGTGGCGGCGCGTAATGCTGTTTCTTCTCCTGGGAAATGTTGTTCCAAAGGCTGGGGAAATGCTGCTCCCTCTGGAGGGATGCTGTTCCCTCTGGGGGCAATGTTGTTCCCTCTGGGAAGAATGCAGTTCCCTCTTGAGGGGAATGCGGTTCCCTGCAGTTCCCTCTGGGGGAAATGCTGTTCCCTCTGGGGAAATGCTATTCCCTCTGGGGGAAATGCTGTTCCCTCTGGGGGAAATGCTCTTCCCTCTGGGAAGAATGCTGTTCCCTCTGAGGGGAATGCTGTTCCCTCGGGGGGGGGGGGGGGGGGAAGCTGTTACCTCTGGGGAGGGAAACGCTGTTCCCTCTGGAGGAATGCCAACACCCATTCACTCTGTAGGTTACATCTTCAGTAAGTTCCCCCAGGAGGTCCTATCTGACCTGCCCTCCCCTCAGTGGGGGCCCCCTGCCCCATATGACCCTCTTGGGGGGACCTCCACCCCCTGGGGGGTGGTTCCAGGCCCCGCCCACACCACAAGAGGCTTCGTGGCTCCCCAGCCCCGGGGTGTGTGTGGGGGGGGTCTCCGTGACCGAGGAGGGACCGAGGCCCATCTTGAGCCGACCGTGCGAGCCGATCGTGCGGGGACCAGGAGCCCTCGCAGGCAGGAAGCGTCTGTGCATACAGCAGGCGGGTAATAAACGCACCCTGCGTGAGCAGCAGCGACCCTGCCCCCCCCCCTTGTCTGGGAATCCTCCAGCCGGTGGGGGTGGGGGCGGGGGTCCTGGGTGGGGCCGGGCCCTGCCAGGTACGAGGAGCCCTGATGAGCCCTGCAACCCCCTTCATCCGGCCCTTTATGAGCTGCCCGTAACAGGAGCCAGACGCAGCCCTTCCCGCAGGCCGGGGTCTGGGCAGTGGACCGTCCCTCCCAGCAAGGCCGTCCGGCTGCAGGTGCAGGGGGGCGCCCAGGTGGCCCCTCCACCCTGGACCCCTCCCGCCCCCTAGGGTGCCCGAGCCCTCCCACCCCACCAGCTGTGCCCACTGGCTTGAGTCTCGGCCATTGTCCCGGGGGACGGGGAGGGTGGGGACCAGGCACAGTGGGAGGCTTGTGCCCTGCCCCCCCGCCCCCCCGCCCGTCAATGGGGCACTTGTCAATTCATGCCCCAAACATGGCGGAAATCCCGTGGCCCACGTGGCTGTGGGCAGGCCAGGCCAGGCCCGAGGAGTGGGCCTCACCCGGTGGGACCTGAGGCTCTGGGGGGACCTGGGCCACCGCCATGCCCAGTGCTCACATGAGCACCTCGCTCCGGGCTCAGGCTCAGGCCGGGACAGGCTGTCCAGCTGGAAGGGGCGTCCCCACTCCATCACCTGAGCTGGGCGGTGGGGGGCTCAGGGGCGTGGGGAGGGGTCCTCACACTCGCTCGCTGCTTCCCTTCCTGCACTCAGGACCCTGCCCCTCCCCACCCCTCACCTAACATGGGATCGCTTCTCCAGGTTGCTCAGTTGCCCTCCCTCTTCCAAGTTTCTTCAAAGTCGGACCCCGCTGCCCTCTGGCCCAGGGGTGGCATCATCCTGTCTTCAGCACCCCCGAAGCAGGCAAAGCCGTCCTGCCTCAATCACCAGGACACAGGGGACCCCCAACGTGACCCTGCAAACCGACCTGGTGCCCATGAGTGCCTAGTGGGACCCCTAGCTGTGTCCGCTCTCTCTCAACTTCTCCTTTTTTTTTTTTTTTTTTTTTTTTTTTGCTTTCTGGGTCACACCCAGCGATGCTCAGGGCTGACTCCTGGCTCTGCACTCAGGAATCACTCCTGGCAGTGCTCAGGGGACCCTATGGGATGCCAGGAATCGAACCTGGGTCGGCAGCGTGCAAGGCAAACAAACGCCCTACCCGTTGTGCTATCGCTCCAGCCCCTCTCACCTCCTTTGATGTGGACTCTCTATCTTGATTAACTTGACCCATGACTGAGAGGGAACGGCTGGCGTCCGCTCACGTGGCTTGGGCCCCCAGCCTCGGGCTCTCCTGCATATGATGCTGCAAGTGTCGCTTTGTGTCGCCATGTCAACGTGCCACTTTGCGCGTGGGGCACACCCAACTGGGCACAGCGCTAGAGGCCTTGGTCCGCTGGACCCCAACCGTGGAAATGCCGCATCTTGGTTCCTACCCGGCTCCTTGTCAGAAACGGGCAGCCCAGGACCCTTCAGCCACACGTCGTGGCCTGTCCAGCTCCTCACCAGGCCAAGCATAGCCCCCAGCAGGGGGCTATGATTTGGGGGGGGTGGCAGGCGGTCCCCCACTACAGTCCCCCGGGCCCCTCTGCGTCCAGTTTCTGCCAGTCTCTCATCCCCTGGAGCACAG